TTTCCAAAGTTGAGCTATTGGGCACCTCCCATGCCTCAAAACTTGTTTGTCCACGGAGTGAATTACTGTGGGACTCTCATTGTATTGGAAAACAATTCTGAATGAGTTTAAAGAAGTAGCCTAGAGCATCTGTTGACGATGATTCCTTGAACCCAGGGATTCTTTCCCCCAGACTATTAGGGTTTGCTGATTAGAAGCCATGAGCCGGTTTTGTTTCCTACTAAAGAAAGTCATTGAACAAAGGTAGAACTGGAAGATGTGGGAGGGAGGGGAAGAATTACAACTGAATTGTTTGAAATTGTGTGATTCATACGCCATACCTTTACATGTTGATGGAGAGTTGAATGGAACACTCATTTGTACTCTGCAACGGTGTAATTTAAAATGGGTGTGTAAAGCCACTTAGCATGCATTCAGAGGAAGATGCATTTACCCCTGCCTTACCTCAGCAAGCCACCACCCTCTCCCTAAAATATGTGAGGAGGAAGGTCATGCTAATTTGACATCTAAGGTCATTATAGGAACCCTGCCCCACCCCTCGAGAATCTCATCCTTGTTAGTCGGCTTTCCATGATTACAACAAACTCCATGATTATAATCAACTAAAAAAGAGCAAAGATTTATTTTGGCTCCTCATTTTGGAGATTCCAGTCCATGGTCATTTGGCTTCTTTGCTTTGGGGCCTGTGGCCAGGCAGCAGCTGTGAAGGAAGCTGCTCACCTCATGGCGGTGAGGAAGCAGTACCCCTGGGGTTCCAGTATCACCGCTCCCCCAAGGCATGTCCTCAATGACCTGACTTCCTGCCACTAGGTTCTACCTCCTGAGGGTTCCACCACCTCCTAATAGCACCACAGGCTGGGGGCCCAGACATTCAAGATCCTCACAGTAGCACTGCAGTATAGAGTGTAGCAGTGAATAGGGCAGATGCTGCTCCTGGCCTCAGGGAGCTTACAGTCTAGCCAGGGATACAGACAGGCAGTTAAAATGCTGTGTGATAGGGATGGAGTTTTCTAAAGGATATTAATAGAAAAATATGACCAGCGTAAGCCCAGAGCATAATTACCCTTACCTTTGAAACCTGGTATTTTAAAGTCTAATTAGAAAGAAGCAATGTATATGTTGGAAAAATTGTTACGTAAAGGTCAGAAGAACCCGGTTTTATTCTTTCCACTGTCACTAACTACATGTGTGATGTGGCTAGCTTCAACTTGCTCATCTATAAAGTGGAAAGGTAGTATTTGTTCTGCTAACTCATGGGATTATTATAAAGATTACGTGAGATAATGTACATGAGGTGCTATGAACACATTAGAATATTTCATTTTCCCATGCTGTAACGTGGCCTGTCTTTTTCCGCCCTCGTTCATTCAGCAAACATGTGTGACCCACCTGCATGGTTGACGAAACTGTTAGAGGCGATATGTGGCTCAGTTAGATTTTGTTGCACTATTCCATTCAGAGTATTTTTGCTTTATTGAGCATGAATTTTCACACTAAGTTGGAGTGGGTAGTGAGAGGGAAACTGCATCTGTTGATCCCCATTCAATGCACGGGCTCACCTTACTTCTGTCATCCTCCTGGAAGGGTGGGTAGAAGTGACCTGGAAGAACATGGGTGACAAGCTTTGGACTTACAACTTCACTTTATGCTTCATAGATTAGTTTAGCATCTGGAAAAACTCCTTTAATGACCTTATGGGATTATTGCTAAATTGTTCATAGTTCCTTTCAAAATTCACATTATTCATTTTTCCAGCCTCTGGATAACCATCAAATGAAATCTTTGACATCAAAGTAGACAGAAAAAAAAACCAAACTTGTAAGTACACACTCTTCCAGCAGCATGTTCGCTTGCAACATAGTTCCATTGCTCTGGTGACCTCTTATTGGCAGCTACTGAGCCCCTCACATCAGGGGGACGTAGGCTTTCCTTCCCCTGAGTCTCAACAGTATTAGTAGGGAGTCTAATTGTCTTCCAAATGCAATTATTTCTGATTCTACTGAGGTTCAAAAAGAATGTTCATTTCTCCACATCACACGCACAAAAGTGTGTTTTTATTTCTCTATTTCCTGTCTTGCAGCATCACTTCAGTGTTTCCAGAAGGCAAGAGGGATCTTTCTGACTTCTACTTAACTATCTTCTCCATTTCCCCCTTTTCCTTTATCTACTGCTGCTGCCTGCTGAGTCTTCTCTGAGTGAATAAGCAACAGACAGAAGATCAAATGAGGGAGAGTTGCAGGCATTTTGTCCCTGCCTGGACCAAAAGAACAGCACGTCAGTGTTTCTCTACTCCACCCGGGTCTTCCTGTGCCCCCTCTCATTACATTTCAGTATTTCTTTCTTTCTTTTTAATATTTTTTACTTGTAAATAATATCTGTATTTTATTTATTTATTTTTTTTACATGTTGATGAGGTAGGCAGGCGCTCTACCACTGAGCCCCAGCCTCAGCCCCAGCCCCAACCTTCGGTATTTCTTACCTGTACCTCTGCGCCCTCCAAGCCCCAGGTGCATCTCCAATTCTATGTAAGCAATGATCTACAGCAGCCTGGGTTTTCTTTACAGAGTCACTTCTTCTTTTGTTCATGTTCCAATGAGAGTTCTAAGACTCTTCTTTCAACTATGTTTCTTTAACTGGCCGTGCATTTCTCGTTTTGCAAAATTCACTCACTGCTTTTGCTTATTAAATATTTTTGAAAAAATTTTATTTTTGTTCTTTGGAAGTCCTGACCTTTCCTTTACTACCTTTTAACAGTATTTCTAGACTAAATGTTGTAGAACTCTTCCTTTTTGTGGTCCTTCAGTTGTGCTATATCTGTTGTTCAGTTATATAGAAATCAGGAGAAATGACCAAAAATGAATAACACATCCCCTTAAAGGGCTAACCACTCCTTCCTCTGCCTTCTACCACCAGATGCCTCCTCACATTATTTATTTATTTAAAGATGGGGGTCTTGCAGTGTTGCCCAGGCTGGCCTTGAACTCCTGGGCTCAAGTGATGCTCCTGCCTCAGTCTCCTAAGTACCTGGGAGCACAGGTGTGCACCACCATGTCCGGCTCCAACATATCATTTTTAAAGCATGTTCCCTGATGCCATATTCCTGTGTATCCAGGGTATTCTGTGTGGATCAAGTATAAAAGATCCTCTCTTCAGGTACATTTGAAATAAAACAGTACGGTTTCCTTCACAATGTAGGAAAAGCTCTTTGGAGGAGCTGGACCTCACAAGTTTCCTTTCATCCTGGTGAGAGTAGACGAGATGCAGAAGTAGTGAACAGACCTGATGTGACTTCAATCAGGTGACAGCCATGTGGGTCTAGTGAGAACCAGCCCATTTGAGATCCAAGCAGCTCTGCTGTAATCCATCACCAGATTCATTTCTTAAACCCAAAAATCTGTTTCAGGAGAGCTGATGCTCAGGATTCCCAGGTGGCACTTCTGCAGGTGTTAGATGTCAGCCAACCTCGGTGGGTCCTTGTGTACGGGTCCTCGTGTCCTCATTCCTAAGGCACTGTGTTGATGTCTAAAAACAATCATCAAATGGTTCTTTTGAGTATAAAACTCAGTTATAAAACCAAGACAGTTTTCTTTCTCAAACAATTAAAATTTACACCTTCTTCTGGATCATTTGTTCTGGAACAAAGCTTACTCTGTTTCCATCCATTGATACTTATATAGTTCTATTGAAGTAAATTATAAAAACATCTTTTGAAACAAAAACAGATAACTGTTAACCTGTAGGTGCTATTGCTTTTCTTCCCTCTGCCTTATCTGTCCCTTTAAAAAAAAGAGTCTAGCTGGGGGCAGTGGTCCATGCCCTTAAATCTAGCCACTCAGAGGGTTGAGGCAGGAGGATCACAAGTTCAAGGCCAGCCTCAGCAATTTATCAAGGACCTAAGCAACTTAATGAGACCCTGTCTTAAAATAAAAAAATAAAACGGCTAGGATTGTAGCTCAGTGATGAAATGCCTCTGCATTCAATCCTCAGTACCATTAAAAAAATGAAAATAAATAAATAAATAAAAAGACTTGGGCGGTAACTCAATGGTAAAGTGCCCCAGGGTTCAATCCCTAGTACCAATCAAAAAAAAAAAAAAAGGGTGAGAATATTTCCTTGTATTAATTTCCCTTTGTCTTTCTAATTTACTTAATCTGGAAAGTACCCTGTTGGGATACCTTTTGTAATTTCAGGAAGAATACCCAGTTATTGAGATCTTGAATTTTAGAAAATAATGCATAAATGGATCCAGTATATGCAAATCAGCCTGCCCTTTCATACTATCTGTGGTCTTATAGTTTGTTAAATGCTCTGAAAATCAAGGGTCTAGTTTTCTTCTAAGAGCTACTGAGTAAGAAGGTAGAGTTTTGACAAAATTCCTAAAGTAAAGCTCCTCTCTTGTTGCATCTCATTGATTAGAATATTCATTTTTATTATTATGTCTTTGTGGAATTTGGTATGTTTTAATCAAGTAAATATGCATGTATAGATTAATATGAGAAGGTTGCATTTGCCTAAAAAATGATTTTTTAAAATTTTTGTTTTTTTTGGTTGTTGGTAGACCTTTGTTCTATTTATTTATTTATTTATTTATTTATTTATTTATTTATTTATGTGGTGCTGAAAATCAAACTTAGTGCCTCACATATGCTAGGCAAGCACTCTGCCACTCAGCCACAACCCCAGCCCTAAAATAGTGATCTTGCAAAAACTTTATTGGTCTGGAAGAAAAGTTCAGTAGCATATGGGTTAAGTCATAGAGGAAGGGATCTCATTTTTTAAAAAAGTATTATTTAAATACAGTGTAGGGGCTGGGAATTGTATAGCTCATTCTAACACACATAAGGCCCCAGATTCAATCTCTAGCCCTACAAGAAAAGGAAATATAAAATAAAAACAATGAATTCTCAGATTATCAATGGAAGCTTGAGTTATTCCTTTCTGAAACTGAGAAATCAAATTCTCTTGTGCTTGATTTTTGTGCTTTTATCATTTATTTTTAGGAACCAAAGGAAGAAATAAAGGAGAGTTTACGAATCTTCAGGGGGTAGCTGCATCTACAACTGGAAAGATATTAATTGCAGACAGTAACAACCAATGTGTCCAGGTAGAGTCCCTACTGTGTACCTTTAACTACCAATATAGTTACATATTTTCCTACTTTAGACTTAAGATTCATAGTACAAGGAAAGAGCCTTTTTTTTCCATGTTCATTCACACATATTCTATCCTTTAATTTGATGTGTAAATGTAGAACAAAATCAAAATAAACAATATAAATTTTGATATTGGTTATAATCAGATTGTAGAATCTGGAAATAAGTACTTATATCTTTAAAACAATCTAGAATGTTAATTCATTGCATAAATTACCAACAAGTCTGTTATGTACTTTAACTATTTAGCACAACATTTTTTTTTAGGAATCTTACATATAAATGCATGCATAATGTTAATATACATTTTAGAACATCTAAAAGAATTTTATAAGGAGTTCATAAGGCAATAACATATGATGCGTTATCTTCTAACATGTGCCGTATGTGTGAAGAGAAAATGAAAGAACTTCATCGTATGCTAAGGCCCAAACCAGATCTAGACAACCTGGCAAGTAACACTGCTAACAGGCAGACAACTGAACTGACCTTTTTCAACACCACTTACAGCCCACTCTAACCCAAGCGACTGCTCGCAATTCATTTCAGTCACTCAGTTCCAATAAGACAAGAACCTTTTTGTGTTCATTTCACATTTATCTTTTTAATAGTCTGAACAGATCTTCACAGTACTATTCCAGAATAAATTTGTGCTGAAATTGATTAAACTATACTGATTAATGCTGCCTTTAAATCAGTGGTTGTTTTCTTTTTTAAAAATTTATTCTAATTTGTTATATGTGACAGCAGAATGCATTTCAATTCATATTACACGTATAGAACACAGTTTTTCATATCTCTGGTTGTACACAATGTGGAGTCACACCATTCGTGTCTACAGACATGTACTTAAGGAAAGAGCCTTTTTTTAATATTTATTTTTTTGGTTGTAACTGGACACAATATCTTTATTTTATTTATTTATTTTTATGTGGTGCTGAGGATCGAACTCAGTGTGAGCGAGGCAAGCGCTCTAGCGCTGAGCCACAATCCCAGCCCCAAGAGCCTTTTAATGTGTCTGTAGGCTTTTCTTAACAGTGTTGGCATGTCCTAACCTATAGTATCTATGACGGATCTCCTTGCCTGTTGCTTCCTGAGTGGTTTCTGTGAACATTCCAATCAACATAAATTGTTTTACAGATATTTTCCAACGATGGCCAGTTCAAGAGTCGTTTTGGCATACGAGGACGCTCTCCCGGGCAGCTGCAGAGGCCCACAGGAGTAGCCGTGCACCCCAGTGGGGACATAATCATTGCAGATTATGATAATAAGTGGGTTAGCATCTTCTCATCAGATGGAAAGTTTAAGGTAAGCTCAAGTATCAATAGACCACTAAACCTTAGAGAAGAGGAAATAGGAAATAAAAGTTGAAATGGTCTTTTTCTTTTTCTCTTTTAAATCCAATCCAATGTTCAACAATTCTTCCTACACAAAGATATTCTTTCATCTAAATGTTGTAAAATGAGAATAACAATGATTGTTTTTATAAACCTGCTCATACAGATGCTCATAAATGTGTTTTCGTTTTATAGAGCAATTAGTTTGCACAGGTACTTTTTTTTAACCAGATTTAGAGGAAAACTCTCCTTATGACCCCATTTCAATGAAAAACATCATCCTTTCGAATAGGGTTAGGAAGAAGCAATTTATACCCTTGCATTAACCTATAACTTGTCACATAGAAGTGCCTTCTACTTTCTCAGGCCTGAAACAGATGACATGGAAGAAACAGAATGAAACAGAATCATAAGACATGGTTTCTGCCTTCTAAAAAATGTATAAGCTCAGGGAGGAAAAAAGATAAATATACAAGAAAGGACAGGAAATAATTCATGGCAGCCTCTAATCAGTCATAAGTTATTTTATACCATCTAAAAACATTGTGCTGGGGCTGGGGTGGTGGCTCAGTGGTAGAGTGCTCGCCTAGCATGCATGAGGCACTGGGTTCGATCCTTGGCACCACATAAAAACAAACTAATGTATCCACGTAAAGCTAAAGATACATAAATAAATAAATGTTTAAAAAATAAATAAAATAAAAAATAAAAACATTGTGCTAAGGAACATAAGATTTGAAAGGAAAAGAAAATGGAGGCTGAACTTAAAGAAAAGATGCAGGTTGAGCTACACTTTGAGGGATCCTGCCATCATTTGACTTGTTTTCTGTTACTCCCACTATCTTATTTATGGAAATGTAAAAATGGTTTTGGTGTTAGTCAGCTTTCTGTTGCTGTGACAAAATACCTGAGAAAGTCAACTTTAAGAGGAAGAGAGACCCATTTTGGTTTATAATTTTGGAAGCTTCAGTCCCTGGTTGTTTGGCCTTGTTGTTTTTTACCCATTGTGGAATCATCATAGTGGGTAAGCAGGACACAGGAAACTGCTCACTTCATAGCTGCAGGGAAGCAGAAAAAAAGAGGAAGGAGCCAGTATCCCCTTCACAGGTACATCCTGAATGCTAACTTCCTCCTCCTAGGCCCTAGCTCCCAACAGCACCACATGCTGGTGACCAAGTCTTTAACATATGGCCTGGAGAATCATTTAAGTTCCAAACCATAACAGCTTCTGTTTCTTCAATGAGTCACCAAAGACAGCCCAGTGGTAATAACAGAAATCTCTCTTCTAAGGTATCATCCAGAATTGTTATCATCCAGTCCATTGTGTACATTAAAAGTCTTTTTGATGACCATATGTATTATGCCTTCTCTATTCCCCTTATTCAAACTATTAGAGACTTCTGTTTGAGTTGACAATATGAACTTTTACTCAGACAAATCAAGCAACTAGAAATCCATCTCTGTGGCTTATTAGTTCTTTGGCCTCCATTAAATTATGAAACTTCCTTGAACCTCAGCAGCTGCATATTTAAAATTTGGATTAAATAAAAAACTTATAGGATCTGAGTAAGGACTAAATGAGGTTTTATTTCTGGATGTCATATGTGCCTCATACTAAATAGATATCTAAAAAATGTTCTTTTCCATGCCTTTCATAACCCCATTCAAAAAAAATGAAGTCTGTTTGACCAGCCATGATTCTTGACTCCAGGATGTCATGTGGATACCTGGTGGTCATTATTTCCAACCTAATACTCTAGAGAGGCCACTTTTCATAACCCATTCTGGTTCCCTGATGATGGCATAAAGTTTGCTCGTTAGTGATTTATCATCATATTTGGGTAAGACATACCCAAATGTGACAACTCTAATATGGATGCTATGAAAACTCTTGAATGACCTCTCAAAAACCTTCATGTAATTTGGAGGCAACCTGTTTGTTCTTGTTTCGGATTCTAGAAAAATCATGGTCTGTCTGTACATTCAGGAGCTAATACTGAAATAAGTTTCACATATGAAGGCATGAGTTTGATATCTAAGAGAGAAGCATTTCCTCAAGAGTAATATACACTCTACTGTGTAATATACACTATATTACACGTATATTACTACCTATTATATACACTCTTCTTGGAAGAACTGGAGGCTTGGAGTTGGAATAATATTGGTATTAGTTGGAATAAACACTAAAAGCCACTCTCGCCCTCTGGAGGAATGGGGAAATGGATATGGTATAGTTTCTGCAATACCCTTTAAGATTGTTGATCAGAACCCCATGGTAAAAGGATAGCAAGCAAAAATACTTTAGTATTACAAATAGAGTTCATTCAAGTGTGAAATCTATACTATCAAGATATTCTTGCTTTTTTTCTTTTGGGAAAATTAAACAAGTGAAAGACATCTTTAACCTCACTGCAGATTCTTTGTATTTATTCCTAATAGTTGCAGAGATGTAACATCTTATTTTTTCCCTCTCTTTTATTCACTGATTGCTTGTCTCAAGTTTTATTCCTCTCTGCCTCCTTAAAGGTTTTTCCTTTTCATCTTCCCTTCTGTCTTGAATCTTCTAGTCCATCCAGGAACCTTTGTGATCAAAACAAACACACAACAAATATGGTGGTGGTCCCCATGGCCACCGAATTCTAAAATATCTCATCTCTTCCCTCTTCAATTTAAGAACCTAATTGTTCAGTTAAATACTCTCATTTGATCATTCCAAAGCCAGTTTAGAGGTTTTTGCGTTTTATTCTAACAGAGGGGACGCAGTCAATCCAGATGATTTTTATTTTACTGGTAGAATCCAGTGTAGCAAAACCAGAGTGATGGTGGAAGGGAAAGGAAAAGAAGTTTGGGTTCAACATGTAAGTAGTTCTTTTAGGTCTACCCTGGTTGTCATTACATGACAGAATGGAGGGCATACCTTATTGTCCGTTTTTGTTCTAGGTAGTTATCCATTAGGTATTGTGTGGTTGCGTCATTCTAAGTAACTGCTAGTGTTCATAACATTGGGTGGTGGTAATCAGATTGCCGGCTCTTCTTTTGATCTCTGTTGATGTCCCTTCCATTCAGACATGAAAGAATTATGCCATTTCTTTACATGCCATTATGCTGTAGCCTCTTTGATCTCTGGGCTAGATTGCAGAATCAGAATCAAATTTACACAACAGATTCCTTTGCCAAGAAAACCAGGGTTTCCTTGCTCTGATTGTGTTCCTTTGTCCAGAGAGATTAAGTCTGAATCTCAGTCATTTATAAACTTGGAAGAATAAAGGGTTGTACCAAATCTGAATCCCTACCATGAGAAAGCACCCACCCACCCTCTGCTAGTAAATTTAGAGGTCTGGGGTCGAACCTATGAGAATGTTATTGGGGGGGGGGGGGTTGTTAATTTTTAATTTAAAAAGTTATACATGAAAATAGGCTTTTAAGATGTGCCTAAGAGTATAAAATGAACAGTGAGTGTGTCTCCTGCCACCACTGATACCGCTTTCTAAGGTACAGACACTGGTTTCTCATTTTTCCTTTCAGAAGTACCATTGTCCCTTGGTGTCCATGGGGAATTGGTTCCAGCAACCTCCCACCCCTTAGATAACAAACCTGAGGATGCTCAAGTCCCTCAGATAAATGGTGTAGAATTTGCATGGAAACAAGTCACATTCTCCTGTATATTTTAAATCATCTCTAAATCACTTATAATGCCTACTACAATGTAAATGACAATGTTTATAGTTGTTATGCTATATTATTAAGGGAATAGTGACCAAAAAAAAAATCTGTATAAGTTCAGCACACACACAGACTTTTTTTCTTTTGTCTTCTGAATATTTTCAATCTGAGATTTGTTGAGCCTGTATTTGCAGAGCCCAGGATGCTTGGGCTGACTATACAGTACATGCCTGTATGCATACATTTAACCCAAGTGGACTCAGACTCTACTCCCTACTCAATACCTTGCTTTGTTCAGTAATATAGCTGAAAGAGCTCTCATAAAAACACACATAGATGTGTTTCCCTCTGATGCTTGAGGCGTGGGTGCCAGTGTGACAGAGACATCCCTGAGGCAGAAGCTGTGTCTTATCTGTGTTTATTTACTACAAGCCTGGAACACAATATCGAGTACATGGTGGGTGCTCAGGTCTGTAGAGCCAGTAAGTAGAGGTAAATGCGTGAAGCAGTTCTTTATGAGCACTCCATAAAACGGAGCTACAAAAATAATACTAAGTTAAACTGCATCTCCAACATGCATTTATGTATTCATTAAATTTAATTGGTTCAGGAACATGAATGAAACTTAAAGTGTTTATGATATATGGTTGATAGCAATCTCATGTTTTTCTGTCCTTTTAAAATAAAGTGAAGAGTGAAACCATTTCATCATGATTACCCACTAATAATCCAGTCTTTTAAAGTTTATTTAGTAAATTCTTGTTGAGTACCTGTTATACACCAGGAAGTGGTGGATAAAACAGACATGACCTCCACTCATGTGGAACTGAATTCTAGTCAACGTCAGTGGCAGATGCCTGGCAGTTTCAACATCAAGAGTGCTAGGTAATAATAACAACAATGGCTTCCTTTTAGTGAGTGCTTACTGTGTGCTCTACATTAAACCCTTTACCTACATTATTATTATTTTTTAAATTTTTGTTAGTTGTCAATGTACCTTTATTTTATTTATATGTGGTGCTGAGAATCGAACCCAGTGCCTCACACATGCTAGGCAAGCACTCTGAGCTACAACCCCAGCCCTACCTACATTATTTTACTTAACACATATTCTAGAAGTACCATTGAAAGTTATTAAGGTTGGTGGGGGTTTTTTGACTTTTTTTTTAATAGATAAGAAATCTGGAAATAAAAGGAATTAAATTTGGGCCACATTGGGGGTGCTGAAAGCAGGTGACAGCAGCAGGACAATTCTCTGACTCCTAACCCAGTGACCTGTCACTCAACTACACCACCTCTTTAGAAGAGGGTATTGTGACCCTAGTCTAGGAAATTCTAGAACATTTTTGGTGGTGGTGATCCCTTTTAAAAAATAAGATTTTCGTATAAATACTCATAGCAGATACTAGATGTGACAAAGCCAATTTGCTGAGACAGAGATCACTGGGTGCCTGAGTACCTGTGCAGCCTGAACATTCGAGCCAACGTTTACTGAAACAGTGTCTAACTTCATGTTCTCTAGTGTTAAACTTTGAGGTCTGTACTCAATTTCTGCACTTGTTTCTAACAGACAAAAATTGGATCGGGAAAGCTGATGGGGCCCAAAGGAGTTTCTGTGGACCGCAACGGGCACATTATTGTGGTGGACAACAAAGCATGCTGCGTGTTTATCTTCCAACCAAATGGGAAAATAGTCACCAGGTTTGGTAGCCGAGGAAATGGGGACAGGCAGTTTGCAGGTACACTCGACGGTAATATGTAAACCCCCTTTTTTATGCTTCTTCTGCTCACATTTGCATGATGGAGCATGTTGAAGACGCCACATCCCCAGGGTGTTTGCTGGCTTTGGGGAAAGATGCTGGGGATGAAATCTAAGCTGAAGCATGCTTAGATGCTTTTCAGTTACTCCACCAGTAAGTCAGACTGCAGTTCATGTGTGGTTGCTGTGGGGTCCCAATTCACAGTGCACAAGTCTGCTCCTCAAATATTTATGTTAAGTAAAATATGCATTTAAAATAAAACATTTTAAAAATAAAACTCTTTGAGGAACAATGGAGTAACTCCTGTTTTCCATACTGAATTTTTATTTAAAGAGCCTCTAGTTGGAATTTATTTCACCTAAGTTATTATGAGAACAGGGTTCAGAATGTTTGCCAAGTGCAGGGAGGAAGTCTCTTACTTATCTTCTGGGAGTGCCACTTAGCAATCACAAGCTTCGGTTTTTTCACATCTGCAAGAAGAGGCTGAACACAGTTCATTTTCGTTTTGAAAGGATGCTTTGGGCATTTTACATTCATTTGCATAATCTTTCTTTGTGCTTTGTCTCCAGTTCTTTGTCCTGCCAGGTTCTGAATGTCACTCCAAATTATGAAAGTGGGTTTCCTGCTCAATTTTTTAGAAAAGAAAAAATTACATACTGGAGTCTCTTTTCCAGGGCTAAGTGTCCTCATATCTTTCCTTAGTAAACACTTTTTTTTAAGGATCCTAAAAAAAGACTAATGTATTCAGAGAAGCTGGCAGGTGTGACTTTCAGATGATGGTGTGGAGAATGAATTCTGATGCTTACTGCTGGTCCTACTTTGTTAGGGCTGCTGGAACTCTTTGCTTGATCCGGGAGAAGTCAGACTAGACAATCCCAAGTGTAGAATAACATAGGATCCACATTATCTAGAGCACAAAGGGCTGGCTATATGATCATGCAGGGATCGGGGTCTCTGGTTATTTGTTCTTTCTTAAATAATCAAGTTAATGTATTCAGTTTGTTATTGTTATAGTAACTGCTCTGTTGCAATTATTTTTGTTGTTGTCATTACATAATTTTTTTTTCCATTTTTTTATTGCAGGTCCTCATTTTGCAGCTGTAAATAGCAATAATGAGATTATTGTTACAGATTTCCATAATCATTCTGTCAAGGTACTATGAACACATCAGTTGTTATTTACTTTTTTTTTTTTTTTTTAAGCTGCTTTTATGGAGAAGTTGGTCTGGGAGAGAACAACATACAATACTTACATAGACACACAGAATTTAAGGAAATTAACCTCAAAAAAGTAGATTTTGCTTATGCTTAAAAATGCAGATTTTCATGTGGACATACAGACTTAAAAGAGTCAGGGAATTGAACAAAATACAGTTGCAGTTGCTTTATTAAAGATGATTAGAAAATTTATCAAAGACGATCTGAAAATTAAGTTTTAAAAAGCAATTTCTTGAATGTAGAAACAGAACTTTCTGAAACTTAATATTTTGTGGCTATCCGACAGATTAAAACAAAAATCACTTTTTCAATTTTCATGAACCAAAATGCCTTTAAAATAAAATCTATAAGAATTGTGCTTCAGCAGACTTGGGGGAAGTGGTATATTTCATAGTTTAAAATACTTTCACACATTTGGTGTTACTTAGAAAATAATGGCCTTTTTAAATAATATATTACATCCTTCTTACTGAGTACAGGAAGAGGAAAATTTAAACATTATTATGAGGAAAATCAAGAACTAATAAGGTAACTCAGGCATATTTCTGCTTTACTGTTATGACGAGAAAACACTTAGTGATCTTCTTGACCACTGATGTATGTCAGGTGGCCAAGGGCAGTGCTCTGACACACATATTTGGTTTTTTATAGATCTCACTATTTATTGACATATTTTAATGTGTTAATTTTTAGGATGATTAGGTCTAGGGATGTAGCTCAGTGGTAGTTCTTGCCTGTTATGCCTGAGGCCCTGGGTTTGATCTCTAGCACTACCAAAAAGAAGAAAAATATTTTTAGGGATTCCTTCTTTTATATCAAGTGGTACTGTTTGTACTCATAAAACTGATCCAAAGTTTTTCTTATAAATTCATTTAAGTGTTTAAAAGTGAGTCATTTTGATGGAAAAATAAGGAAACAGCTTAAGTGGTAGGCCAATGACTAATGTTTGCACTTAGAGACAACCACTGAGCAACCAAAGTTAATAATTACTTTTCTGTGCTGGTAACTGGAATAGCCAGGTAAGGGGTAGGATTTTTAATGCTCAGAAGTTCTTCTTAAGTGCTTCATTTCCCAGCCCATCCTGGAAGATCTCCTTAACCTGAGTAAATGGAAAGTCATTGAGCTTTTTTTGATGAATGTCAGCTCTTGTGCAAAGAGTAGAGCACAGTAAGCCAGGGAGATGGGGCAGGATGAGGGCAAAGAGTGTCCAGCTTTGCCTGCCTTATTATGGCAATTCTCTGCCATGTTGTCTCCAGGGTTGCTCATACAGTGGTAGAGCGCCCCCTACACCCACTGCAGATAAGCTGCATTCCCTGTGGTCTCACTCTAAGGGAGGTGTCTAAAGGAAGAGGATGATAGGAAAATTCCACTGGGATGGGTGGGGGAGGGGGAGGGGGAGGAGGAGGAGGAGGATAGCAAAAAGGCATCAGGAAGTGAGCATGTACCTATCTTCAGGGGCCATAACACTGCTGTAGAATGAGCTCATATTTCTGTGAGGGGGTCGCTGTGGGACAGCTTCTATTGATCAGCTCTAATTGACACTTTTTAGAACACAGGCTGTGATCCTTCTTCCTACCCTCCATCACTCTATAGAGGAACCATTTGTTTAGCTCCAAGGCATTCAACAAGAACAAAACCCAGAAAGATCTTCACAGGGGCAGAGGCTAGCAAATGCCTGGCATAAGTGCTGCCCTCCCACCCACCCACCGGAAGACAATGATTAATCCAGTTGCTCTTTTCCACCAAGCCACTTGGTGGCCTCAGAGTCTTTCCTGTCCTATGCTCCAGGCAGCCTCTATGGATCAACAGTTTGTAGTGGGACAGCTCCTATTAATCAGCCCTGACACTCTAGAAACAAACGAAACATATGTAAGTAACCAAAGTGCTAGGCAGACAGCAATAATGACTTCATAAAAATAGGGATGTGTAAAATTCATGATTCCAGAGAAAAGATTTATAGGAGGTTGGAAGTATTTGGGAGGCTAAGGGCCCAGCTCTTAGGAGAGAGAGAGAGAGAGAATGTATTTGTATAATTAGGGCTGGGGTTATCAAGAAAACTTTCATATCATTCAGGTATTTGACATGATGAAGATTTTGAAATCAGGAAAGAATTATTGTCAGGTTTTTTTTTTAATGCTATAAATACTTAACAAAGAGCAAAGTTATAAAAATCTCAGCTCATATTTCTGCCTCTTAATATGTTTTCATCTGAATGATTTGTAAGTAATTCAGTGACTTTTAGATGGAAAACAAAATATGAGAAATTTATAATCACTAAAGTTCTGAAAACTCATCAAGTTCTCAGGACAGTAGAGATAGATTATTTTAATTCTTTAAACCCAGTTTTCTTCTTAGTTAAGAAAGTCATAGCCTTTTGTTTTTCTCTTCTCTCTGGCATAAGTGCTGATATGATAGCTACTGATGTTCAACTTCTCTGAAATACGTGGGCTCTTTGGTTTCCCATGTGACAGCAATAGTTCTGAACTCAGGTCACTTCTCTGTTGGTAAATGTAAAAACTGTACTCATAGGTCAGTGCCACCAAGTAAGTCTGCTGTAGTTAGTTCTTTAGCTATTTACAGTACTCTGCCCACCCCCCCAACGCTGGGGATTGAACCCAGGCCTCACACATTAGGCAAGTGCTCTATGACTGAGCTACACTTCCCAGCCCTGCAGTACATGATTGGGGAATAGTTCCAAGACCCCCGGGGGAGCCCCCAAAACTATACAGCACCAAACTCTATATAAATACTATATTTTTCTTATATATACCTATGATGAAGTTTAACTTATAAATAAGGCACAATAAGCCATTAACAATAATCACTAATAATGGAATAGAACAATTAAAACGATATACTATAATGAAAATTACTTATAACTTATGAACTGTTTATTTCTGGAGTTTTCCACATCATATTTTCCTGCTCCAGTGGTATAGGTAACTGAACATGAAGAAAATAAAACCCCAGATTAGGGGAGATGACTGTATATATTTTCTTTTTATTATAAAACAAGTAAGGCAAGATTCAGCATTCTCCATTATTCTAATATGAAGCAGCAGTTATGCCAAGGAAATACAGTGACTCAGAAAGATAAGTACAAACAAACTTATTATTTGTAGGAACTAATCAGGGAAAGATCAGAGAATAATAAATGTGTCTTCAACAGCATAGACACATTCCCATTGACCTTTTTCTTTTATATATTTTATTTGTTCCCATTGGTCTTTAAAATTAGAAGGATGTGGATAAAAGGTGACAGAAAGAGTCAGGGTACTTTTTTTATGCTTTATTTTTGGGGAGGTAGAGGGGTTGTGTGTGCCGGAAATTAAACCCAGGTCCTGGAACGTGCTAGGCAAGTTCTGTACCACTGAACCACACCCCAGCCTTCAGTCAAGGAAAACACCATAGTGAAAGCTGGTTGTTCTTATGTCTGTTCTTTGTGAAGAACCAAAGAGGTCCTCAAAGGTCCTGAGCTCATCCTCAAATTAGATCTACGCTCACATATGGTGAACTTTCTCAAGCCACATTTAAGTCATCTCTACTCTAAAGGTACCTGGAGTGTAGTCCTTTTGGATTTGTTAGTGACTGTCTCTGTGCATCTAGACATCATGGTGATGGATGTTTAAAATAAAGTCTCAAGAGACATTTCAGAACCATTAAGTATCATCTAAGCATCAAGATAGAATTATATTTACTGTAGTGTTATCATTAAAATGTTAATGATAACATTAACACATTAAAATGTTAATTATCTCAAAATCAGTATTCTGTATTATATATAATATATATAAAATATGTATACACACATACACAAACATACATATATATAAAAAACATAGTAACACTGTATTAATAAAAATATTTACTTAACCACAGCAAATCCCATTGCTTGATCACGAATTCAAAGCCAGCCTCAGCAACTTAGCGAAGCCCTAAGCAACTCAGCAAGACTCTGTCTGTAAATGAAATATAAAAAAAGGGCTGAGGATGGGCCTCAGTGGTTAAGTGCCCCTGAGTTCAATCCTCAGTACCAAAAAGAAAAAAGCGTTCTGTTTATCCCCTCACTTCTAACAATCTCTGTAGGTTCTGTTTGTCAAAGCCTTAGAATCATATAGACTACCTATATTAACTGGAATAAGTCCTTTGCTTACTCTTCACCTGCTACCATTGTGCAAGTGGCTGTGCATACACACGCACACACACTCTGAATCTCCTCTTGTATGGAGTCCAGTCTCCTCTTTCTTGTTATGTGATGTAGGAAAACAGTAATAGATTCTGAGCTTTCTGACCTAACAAAAACCCCCTCTCTGGTCTAAACTGAATGACTTTCTATCCCACTGGAAATACAATGTCCATTCTTGAAATGGAGCTGTTTAAGTCAGAAAGAATAATACTGCTGAAAATTATAGCTCTACTTACTCATACCACCTTATATTTGTATTTTATGATTTATAACAAAAGTATTTTTCACATCAGTACTTAATAACTAGATATAAACTGTAAAAAAGAGAAGAGTGACTTAAATAAATTATGAATCAGGTTTCTGTAGTACGTTGAAGAACCATAAGTGATAGACAGCTTCAGTTTGTAGATTTACTTTTTTCCCCCCAGAATGCCTTATATTACAGGTTTTGTTGCAAGTAACCTGTTCAGAGAGATATTTTTTTAAGTCCCTGATGTTGGGTCCATGATTTTAATGTAAAACAATTTAAAAATATTTCCACAGGTGTTTAATCAGGAAGGAGAATTCATGTTGAAGTTTGGCTCCAACGGAGAAGGAAATGGGCAGTTTAATGCCCCCACAGGTGTAGCAGTGGATTCGAATGGAAACATCATTGTGGCAGACTGGGGAAACAGCAGGATCCAGGTACACTGAACACTAATCATGTATATGGTTAGATGTTAGGCTTTGTTCAAAATGAAGAAGAACTGGCTGTCCCCCAGATTGGGGGTGTTTTCCCTTCTCCACTGGTTAAGTCACCAAAAGGACCAAACAATGCAAGCTGGACTAGACCAAAGGCACGTGCCTACAGCAGGAGATCCTCTATTTCAGGGCTTTAAACGTGGATCCCATAGAACCCCAATTTAGGTTCATTTATGGATGGAATTCAAAAGATTCATTGAGCATAAATACTACATTATTATTTTTACTAATTTCTGAGTGAAAATTGTCATTTCCCTTTATTTGTTAACAATCTAAGGTAACAATCTGCAGTAGTTTTAGTAATACCTATAATTTTGTCACCAAGAAAAAATCAAAAGAAATTTTTATGTCACATTACATTTGATGCAGACACCCCCAGTTGTCACTTATACTCATCATTACCATAAAATTATAGTAATTATTAAGCCTTTAGCTATTCCTTGTTATTTAGTGTTTCAATTTAAAAAGCACACATAAGCCAGGTGCAGTGGCGCATGCTTGTATTCCCAGAGGCAAGAGGATTGGAAGTTCAAAGCCAGCCTCAGCAACTTAGCAAGGTCCTAAGCAACTTAGACTCTGTCTCTAAATGAAATATTAAAAGGGCTGGGGATGTGACTTAGTGGTTAAGTGCTCCTGGGTTCAATCCCTGCTACCAAAAAAAGAGAGAGAGAATTCTGTAAACACTCTACATATTACAGATTTAACAGCTTAGATAAAATGGACAATTTGTCAGAAAGTACAACTCCATAACTCACCCAGTATGAAATAAATAATTTGAATAGCCCTATAACTGTTAAGGAAATTTAATTCATAATTTTCAAACTCTCCAGAAAGAAATGTCAGGGCTCAGAGGGTTTCACTGAAGAATTCTACTAACTGTTTAAAGAAAAATTAATGCTAATTCTACGTAGTTTCTTCCAGAAAAGAGTAAACAAGGAAACACTTTCCCAGCTCACTTTCAATCCTGCTGCTGAAGTTGTGATAGCAAAATCAGACACAGACAATACAAAAAACAAAACTACAGACATACGTATTCCTCATAAATATACTGTGTTCATCCCAGAATTTTTAATAAAATACTGAGAAATGGAATTCAGCAATATGTAAAAATCCTTCTATGACCAAGTAGAGTTTATTCCAGGGATGCAGGGCCAGCTTAGAATTTAAAAATCTGTCAATATTAATCCACCATATTATAAGTCTAAAGGAGAAAAATTATGATATTAATTGATGCAGAAAAAACATTTGACAACATTTGATACACTTTCATGATGGAATAGAGACTCTTTCTCTACTTGATAAAGAACATCTGTGAAACCTTTGGTTAGCAGCTTTCTCTTGGGTGAAACACCTTTCATGTACGGTCAGGGACTAAGCAAGGATATTTGTCCTCACCATCCTTATCCAACATAGTACCAGAAGGTTCAGCCAGCACAATAAAGAAGAAACAGGAAATGAAAAGCTTACAAGTTGGAAAGGAGGAAATTTAAAACTTTGCATGTTCGCAGATAAAGGATCATTTACATGAAAAATGCCAAGGAATCTCTAAAAGTTTCCTAGAACTAATAGGGGAGTTGAGCCAGATCACAGAATACCAGATCGACATAACAAAAATCAGCTGTACTAATGTGCTTCCAATGAGCACATGGAAGCCAAAAATTCAAAATACAATACCACTGACAATTGCAAAAGAAAAAGAAAAATTGAAATATTTAGGAATAATAACAAAATATATCCAGTATTTATATGCTGAAAACTATAATATGCTGATAAAAGAAGATTAAATAATAAAGGGATTGATAAAGGATGTTCATGGATGACAAGACTCAACAGGGATGGATCAACATGAAGCACCATCAACTGACTCCGATTAATATACAGGTTTTTAACACAAAATCTAAGCAGTATTTTTTTGTAGATAACAAACAAGATTATTTTAATATTTATATGGCAAAGCAAAGAAACAGGAATAGCTACAACAATATTGAAAAAGAAAAATAAATTGAGAGGAATTGCTTCTCCGGATTTCTATATACCTGCATTAATCAAGCCTGTGTGGTACTGGTGGCAGGTATATATATTTCTATATACCTACATTAATCAAGCCTGTGTGGTACTAGTGGAAGACACATCCACAGGACACAATCCAGAAGTAGTCCCCCCACACATATGGCCAACTGATTTTTTTGAGGAAGACATAAGAGCAATTTAATGGATGAATCAAAGACACCCTTTTCAACAAATGGGGCTGTCACAAATAAGATAACCACTGAGGCAAAATAAATAAATCTCATCTTATAAAAAAGTTATCTCAAAATGGATCATAGGTTTAAATGGAAAGCTAGGAGATTGGAGTTTTAGAAAACAAACTTTTAAAAGATTTTAAGAAACTCTTGGAGACCTAGAGCTTGGTGAAGAGGTTTTTAACTATGCATAGGGGGGAAAGTAGAATAAATTAGACTTCATCAAACATAAACATCTGGATCTGTGAAAGAGATAAGGCTAACAATAGAGGCAAACAGACATGGGAGAAAATATTTACAAACCACATTTTTTCCCCACTTTTTTTATTGGTGCATTATAGTTATACATAATCATAGAGTTTTGTTGTTACATAGTCAAACATGCACACAGTGTAATGATATAATTTGGTTAATATCAGTCCCCAGTATGTCACCCCTGCCCTCCCTCATCCTCCCATTCCCTGTTCCCTTTCCTGTTTTATTATTTCTCTTTGATTTTCATGAGACCCCCTTCCCCACCCTTTCTTTCCCTTTTTCCTCTCTAGATTTCACATATACAAACCACACTCCTTGCCACAGTCTGGCTGGGCACAAATGCCGCAGTCTGGCTGGGCACACAATCACGAGCCACCACACAGCTTGTAGATTCAAACAGCAACTCTTTATTCCCGAACTCACACCAGCCGTCTACAATCATGTTCTGGGGAAATCCACGTTCTCTGCCCAAATCCACGTTCTCTGGGCTTCTATCTCCAAAAAAATACTGTCTAAATCCCGTGAGAACTCAAGGGGAACTCAGGCAGCAGGATACGCCCTATTCCCAGCAGGAATAATCTTAAACCTTAAACCTGGAACCTAAACTGGGAACGCCCTAAACAGGATTATCTTAAACCGGGAACACCCTAATCCGCCTTGGTCCTTGAGCAAGGTCACCTACATTCAATGTCACTGCAAATGTCAGCAACATGGGGTACGCTGGCAAGGAAATTGTCATACCTACTTGGCTAATGGCTCCCAGCGTCTCCCCCCTTCTGATTAATTAAATAACAAGCAATGTGGCTTAAGGACCGTGCCTGGTAGGTTGTCCAATTCAACATATGGTTCTTACCTGTCATCGGAAAACTGACCTTTAGGCATCAGCCTCCTGTCTTAGGTTGATACCACTGCAATTGGATCATACCCGTCACTGACTACCGGTCCAGCATAAGCCATTGGCCCCCAAATTTTAGACCATCACTAGCAGAAGGGAGGAGGATACAGAAATGCCACGACACCAAGCCAATTGACGGCTCCTTGGGAAAAATTGCATCACTGGTGACACCATCAGCAAAGATATGTCAGCACTACCACAATTAACATGGGGTGTGCTGGCAAGGAAATAAAAATTGCATCACTAGTGACACCATCAGCAAAGATATGCCAGCATTACCACAATTCGCTGCACCAAACAATAGTTACATAGTCCAGGCAAGTTCTGCAAGCAGTTCAAAGCGGAGGAATCTATCAATATGTCCATTTCCTCCCAAAATCCGTTTCCTCCCAAAGTAAGTTGACTCCTTGATTGAGCATTACTTGTTGAGTTAAATTCATTGATGCATCAGTTTATACAGTTTACTGTGATAGCTATCATAGAAGCTGTAGTCTGGTTTTATCTTTGTCTTCACCGGCACTGGGATGAAGATAGGAATTCTGGCAATGATGCTAAAAAGACATTATCCTGAAAAGAATTATTAAATATAATGAAAAGGAAAGGTGAAAGTAAACAAACAGATCTGTTAACCTACTTTAAAAACAATCCTTAACAGCTGTTTACCTAATTTAAATTAAACCATTTAAATCACGTGAATAAAAAAAATAATAATAATTCGGATCCATTTTTTCATGAGCGCTCCTCATATAAGAAATATGGACATACGCACATACAGACATACAACACAAAACACAAGAGTGTACACAAACGTACAACACATAAGAAAATAGTAAAGGCCTTGTAGCTTTACCTAGGTGAAATCTCCATTGAAATGTTTAAAAACTCCACAGTCAAAAAATAAAACTGATCAGAAAAACATTAACCTAAGTTTGTATGAGCTCAAAAAATAAAAATAGAACCTTATGATGTAGAAAAATGCAATAATAAAATAGCTATTGAAAAAAGCATCCTGGTTAATCACTGTCACAGATGTAAGAATGGCCAAGCTGGAGTTCTGGATATCAGCTGTTATGGATTTGAGTCAAATCATCTTCTTTTCGATCTGTAGAAATTGTTTTAGTTAATCTCTCTGGAATCCAAATCGGCTGCTGTTCTCCCTGTGGAAAAACACAAACAGAGCCCCGACTCCAGACAATCACTGGGTCAGGACCTTTCCATTGTCCTGTTAGAATATCTTTCCAAAGTACTTTAGGCTTATGTACATTTTTTGGATACATATGCCTTTCCGCAGCACTAAGTCCTGATGAATCCAAATTTTAAAAGTTTAGAGTAAAAAGCGTTATTTTAAGTTTATCTTTGGGGGATATATACCCCCTTCCAATTCCCTCTTTTTGCTTTAATAAGTACGTTTTAATAGTTTGATGAGCTCTTTCAACTATGCCTTGTCCCTGTGGATTGTATGGGATTCCTGTTATATGAGTAATACCAAATGATGAGCAAAATTGTTTAAAAGAGGTAGAGGTATAGCCAGGACCATTATCGGTTTTTAA